AAATGATGAAAAAGAATGTAGGATGAAAAAAAGTGGCCCGCACTCGTTTGTGTTAGACATATGAAATAAGGAAAGTAATGAAAGCGTACACCTGTCACATGTTTGCAGCATTAGTCTGCAGTGAGAGTAAGTCACAAAAGCACTGAAACCATCAGAAAAAAAGATTGCATGAAAGCAGTCGTATTAATGGAAGTATGTGTGAGAAAGAGGAGGCAGAAGTTTGATATCTTGTCACATTAGCTCCTACTGATCAAGGATAATTGTATCCTATATGCAGAGCCACTGCTGGATGCCTTAATGTTCCATGTAAGTGATTATTACAGTATCTGTAAACCACCTTTCATCCTACAGCTTCTATAGAATCTGTCCAATACAGTCTCCTTATTAAGATTTATATATAAAATGATATGCTTTTAAGAGAATCATTTTACAACAGAAGCGGCATAGGCTCAAATAAAATGGAATTTCCAGTTGTAATGTTTTAGGCTTTCACAAAAACCAACATCAAGCTAAAGTGGCCAACAAACCACACTCGTTAGAGCATTTTGACATCAAGCCCAGGAAGCTATTATATACTTGTGAAGAATTGCAAAATGCCTAAACATGAGTGTCAGTGGTGTTGTGGGAATAAATTTAATTCACCTGCGAGTCAGTTTTTGAGTAGCATGCTCCATAAAGACGAGAGTATAATACAGTCAAAAGAGTGGAAAGTAGCAGTTTCTGTGGTAGCAACAACACAACAGTGTCAAGGTTAGTGTTAAGAAATGAAAAAGAAGTTACAACTTCACTTTGCAGCAGGATTGTGCAGTGGTTAACATTGTCGCCTCACAGCAAGAGGAATTCTGGTTTGAGCCCTTCTGTGTGGAGTTTGCATGTTCTCTGGTGTCAGTGTGGGTTTTCTCCAGGTACTCCAGGTTCCTTTAACAATCCAAAGACATGCAGATTAATTGGTGACTCCAAATTGGCCGTAGTAGGACTTCTTTGCCGGCGGTTTTATTACATATATAAAATGTGAAAAATTATCGATGAAATCTGAGTCTTTCTTCGTCCTTTTTGGCCACTCGGTATGAATAGATCCTCATCAAAGGGTCCAAACAAAGGGCTGGCTTGACCGGGTTTTTGCAAACGATGCCTCACCTAACCGCAGTGTTATGTGATGCTACTGTCGGTTGTGCCGCTCTGTCTCATCTGTCAGTGCCCTGTTTTTGCGCCACAACATTAATAGTTATAAATTTGTTTTTCATTGCATGTTGCGCGAGAGTCAGTTGTGTAATTCTCACAGTGCACTGGTGTATGTAGAGCCGAGAATTACATGCACATCTATGTGGACAGTGCATGTGGTATTTTTAGCCTTAGTAACCAATACACAGCCTCATTTTGTTTTCCAGTTGAGATGACACACTCAGGCATCATTTACACATATGGACTCAAAATGACAGGCTTTCTTTTTCCTATCATTAGGCCAGAGTGCTGTGTGTTTCCTGCACTGAACATGTGATTTACATTCCAGCTTCCTGCCATGGTCCAAAAATGTGCAGGTGTTAGGATAATTGTTGACTCTAAATTGCCTGTTGGTGTGAATGTGAGCGTGATTGATTGTCTGTCTCTATGTGTCAGCCCTGTGATAGTGTGGCGACCTGTCCGCCACTCGTCCAATGACAGCTGGGATCGGCTCCAACCCCCTACGATCATGAATGGGAAAAGTGAATACAGACAATAGATGGACTTTGCTATGATTGCGCGGTTATTTTCTCAGGTTGCCACCTTACCAGTGAATGTGTTTTAATCCTTTTTTTCCTTTTTTTTTTTTAAGTTGACTGGAATGATTAGCGTTTGCTCCATTTTGTGTAAATCTCTTTTTTAGTGGAGCAGAAAACAACTCTGTGCTTCTGTTTCAGGAGGGGAACAGATTTTGTTTTTCAAGCTTCAGTTCCCAATGAAAGGATTCCTGTTGCTTTTGCAGTGTTTAAGTCCATCTGTGTGGACGAAGCTTTAACTCAATTTGTCTAACCAATTCCTCACATCAATGTCTATTGTCCTTTTTATTATTAACAAGGAGGTTTATGTGAATGTCTTTTTTCCTGTTGGTAGTGCACTCAAAGTAGCACTACACCCAAATACTCTTTTCAGTGGCAAAGTTTCTATCTCTCTACTTCACCAAGCAGATTATGATGCGGTGCTTAAAATCTAAAGGGGACATATTATAGATGTCCTTATTTTCTGTCATATATAGAAAATGTTACATTATTGGATGTTCTTCTTATTGAAAGAGGGCCAAACTTTCAAATAATGAGGTTAACATATGTAAGCACTGCAAAAACCTTGGATTTCAGACTGTTCTGAACACTCTCTTTCCAATGTTTTTGTTTCTAGTTTCAAGACTAGCTGAGGTCAGCTTGTGATGGATTTCTTTTATATGGTCATCTGCTTCAGGCACGCTACTGCACATGTTTACATTGTGTACACTGCTACATGTAGCAACATGCTAACGTCAGGGGAACCAGTATTCTAGGTAACTGATATGATTTTGGAGCATACTCCAACTGGAATAAGTTGCGTTGTAAGGATTTAGTTTTAGAAGCTGTAAAAAGTGCCCAGAAAGGCTGACCAATCAGAGCAGATTGGGCTTGTTTGGACTAGGACCCTATAATACCAGATTGACGACACTTCCATTGACTCCTGTGGTATGTTGAAGTTAAGCCCTACATGCCCTCTAGTGGGGCATGAGGGCATTACCTTTCTGACCAGAAAACCCATTCACTTAAAGTATGTCTGACATGGGAACTGCCCATTGGTTCGACAGCCCATTGGTTCGACATCCCATTGATCCGACCATATTAAACTCATTGTTCCGAAGTCCGTTCCAAAATCATCATGACGCCCTGTGGTTAAGGTCTGGTTAGGTTTAGGCACAAAAACCACTTGGTTAGGGTCAGGAAAAGATCAAGGTGTGGGTTAAAATGAAAAAGAAAGTGGCAAACACATAAGCCGTGAGCCTGCTCCGCCTCAAGCCGGTCGCGGCGCACCATACGCCTGCCGTGAGCCGTTCAGCACCGCGGACAGTCGGACTAATGGGATGTCGAACCAATGGGCTGTCGAACCAATGACATGGACCCGTCTGACACGCGCTTGCTTGTAAATTGATGAAAATGGCCTTGTTTTTACTTTTAGATGTCTTGGTCATATTAAGTCATGCTTATAAATTGTGTATTTCAAAATGCAGAGAGTAGCATTATGGTAGACAGCTGTTATTTTTTGGCTGTAAACGGGTCACTGATGTTCCTATTACAGTAGATTATGCTTTTAGGTTCGCTTGACTGAAACGCTCAAGAATTCCTGGTCGGCAGCAATGCAGCAATACTGAAGTTCAGTCAGTTCTTGGTCGGATATGCAATGCACTATCCCGCCACTAGAGGGCACGTGACCAACTTTCCACTTTACCAATGTGTGTCGCTCATAGACTGTATAAAATAAGGTGTCGCTACTCTGGTATTTTAGGGTCCTAGTTTGGACAGGGGGCTTAAAGAGACAGGTACTAGCGCTTCAGACAGAGGATGGACACAGGAGTTTAAGCATAGACAGTATGAGGAAAATAAAGTCTTTTTCAACATTGAAGCATTTAACTCTTGTCTTTCACCTTCCATTTTAGGGTATTTAGCGTTCGCACAAAAACTGTAAACATTTTTTTCCAAAATCCTTTGTGCGGTTTCTGCATATCTACTGTCTCTAGCACATATATGTTACAATGAAACCATCAAGACCATGTTCTGACTGTCTAAATCCAAACCAGCTCCTATGATTATTTCAAAGAGAATTAGTTCAAGCTTTATTCTGAAAAGGTCAACCTCTGCCTACGGCACCTGCTTGGATTTGGCCCACTAATTTTCCATTCCACACAACAGTGAGTCCCATTACATCCCAATTACACAGGCATAATCATGTCTGTTTAATTGAAATGATCATATCCTTCAATGAAGCAGTCCCTGTAGATACATTTCTTCCTAATATACTTAATTTCTACTGTCTATTTACCATACACCAACAGAATGCTATGACAGTTAGCTTATTTGTATCTGGTAGGTAGCTAACCCTTGAACTGTTCTTTCAAGTCTTATCTAAATGCGCTTAAATGTCATTGAATTGGAGTAAAAGTAGTGCAGGCACTGAAATTTCTCTCCTAATTACTTGAATGTTTAGCTGAAATTAGAAACAATTGGATTTTCAGCGCTTCAGTGGAGGATATGCCAGTGGCTAGGTCTAGGTATGTTGATTCAGGATGCATATTAGTCTGTAGCACAATATGTTATAAGTTTTACAGAATCAACACTGGATAAACACAGCTTACCTTTTATGGCAACATTTCTGGCAAGCACCAAAAGCTTTTTTATTTATTGCCAGGGTGAAAATTTAAAAAAAAAAAAAACTACAACCAAACTGAAAGAAAACAAGCCCAACAAGCATAAGGTGCATGTTAATAACAGCACTCAGTAAGCTGGAGAGACAACAATAGATGTCTGTCTCTAATTGTGAAGGTGGGACTTCCAGCTGTGCCGCTCTAACAACGCACAATTTTCCACAGGAGGAAACTGTTGATGTGCTCGCATGTGTGGTGCATAAAAGAAAAGAACTAAGAATAGGACTGAATTCTGAAAATGTACTGTTATTGGCAGAGTTTGGATTGAAGATCTGATTGGCTGCACTTCATTCAGTACCTGTTCAGGCATGAGGCCTTGAAGTCTGCAGAAATCAGGCAAGAAATGCACGAGGAATGTTCTACATCTGCCTCCCCAGTAAAAAGGCATTAGATTTGGTTGCTGTGGTTTTCCACTGAAGATATTTTTCCACAACATACTGACTTCTAAAGCTTTTGATTACCATGTTTCAAGTCCTAAAAACCCTCAAATAGTACTGCGCCATTGAAATTCAGTTTTCATATTAATGTTTTTTTTCTTGCAAACCAAACTTGACTGAAGTTTTTATTCATGCTCTTGCCTTTTTAGGTATTCCAAGGGAACTTTGACAACGACACACACCGAAAGAACGTGATAGATCCACCCATCTATGCTCGGCTCATCCGGATCCTCCCCTGGTCATGGTACGGCAGGATCACTTTGCGTGCAGAAGTACTCGGATGCACAGAGGAAGAGTGAAGTCCTGTTCTTCCATCTTTCTTGCCATTGTCCCCCGTCCCTTGGCGTACTGGGGTGTCTCAACCCGGTATTTCAAAAACAAACTGTGCAACCTGTAAAAAGAAATAAATTTCCAATGGATTTTTCAAGAATACGTGTTTGGTTGTGGTGGGTTGCTGTTTGTTCTTTTTGTACAATGATTTAAAAACCTGCCCTTGATCCACTTTTGTCTTTAAGTTTCCTCTTTAAAGCGTGATCTTTGTCTTTTTATTCTTCTCAAGAATTACCATCCTGTTTGGAATGAACTTCTGTAATATATATGGGAGGGGTGGGCGTGGGGGTGGAGTCGGAGAGAGGGGTTCTCACTGTGGTTTTAACTTGTCGCCATGGAAGCTATTGTACAGTGTCACTTTTTAACAAAGATGTGAAACCTGTCTGCCGTGCTTCATTGGACATAATTAACCAACGTCATACCATAACTAAACTGTCTGAAACGCCATGTAGAGATCACACGTTATCACATCATCAATTATATTTTTACTTTGATTACTACACTTCCTCAAGCCATGCTTTTACCCTAATGGACACTGGCATTACTACATCAATCAAAACACTATTAATGCTCTTGTATTATATGTAAAAGACTAAGAAACTGCATGGTGCGTGAATTATAAATGTATATTATGACAAATCATTTAAAACCTCCAGTCCTGAGAGCAATGGCTTTGATTTAGGGACCTATTTTTATGTGCATTTTTAAATAGTTCTGAAACATTACAAGACACTGCAAAAGCTTACTGAAGATAACTGATGTGTGAGACAATAAACAAGCACTGCAGTCTAACTTGGTACTGCAGCACTGACACTGAGGCTCGTAGGCTGTCTCTATAGTTGAGTTGTCTTAAAGCTCTCATAAGGGGCTCCATTTTTTAATTTGTATTTGATTATGGCTACACTTTTTCTAAGATATTTGGAATTATTGTTTGTGCTTGTTTTTTTTTTTTAAATTGTATTTATTTAGATTTATTTGTCTCAGCTGTCAGATACATAAAACCTGTTTAACTGTCTCTGTGTTGACTTGGAGATCTAAGTTGTATCAATTACAAAGCTCAGGATAGATGTCATTCATAATAATAATAATGATAGCCCACAAATGTATCATTTTTTGGCCACCTATTTAAATATATCTCTGTATTATTATTTAAAGAAAATGTTAAATGAGTGAGAGCAATTATTTAAATCATGTCCATATATGCATAATTCAAATATTGAAAGCAGTCTATTATTGTCTTTAATCCCTTTGACATGATAAATGATAACTGTTCATTTCTTCCTTTTTTTTTTCTTTCGAAAGAGAGCAAATGTCCGAGATTAATAATATATTAATATATGTCATTATCTCAAACCTACGGAGATGATGAACCATGGTAACAGCATAGAGCTCTAAATTAAATATGGACGTCCTCTTTATTTCAGGGGATCTGATCTTTTTATCATGCTGGATGAGAAATTTTATGTTCAAGAGCTTGTGGGTATTTTCACATGACATGACAGCAGCTCTCTGCATGTTCAAATGGTTTCAGCGAGCTAAAAATATTTAGACACATTAAGGTTGCAGGGGATAAAGATGCTGTTATTCCAGTCGCATCAAAAAATTCTATTTATGCAGTTTTCACTGTATGGATTCTGCTGTTGGCTGCGTCCTGAAGTAAATGAACAGAGATGCTTGGCTGGTTTAATAAATGGAAGTAAACAAGTACCTGAGGTATCGCAGCGGTGTCGAACCTTACAGCCTCATTCTACACGGCTTAAAAATAGGCCTGGATTACTCTAGTGGTTCCCACTCTTGACTAGTTTTCCCAAAGCTCTCGAGTGCTAGAGTAAGAGCTGAGGGGAGTTGCTTTTATGCCTGCCAGCTTTCAGTCACTTAACTATCCAATCATTTCATATTGTAGGAATACAATGCATTTGTTCTGGGACTGCATCCCAGCCTGAAAGAGAAAGTAAGGAAAACCTTATTTAATTTAATGCACCAACCTCGAATAATTTTTGGTTGCCTGACTAGATTGGAAATACAAGAGTGCCACTGTAATTTTCATCACTTTATATTCAATGAATGAAAATGCATTCATTTTGGGACTAGAAGAACAGCAAGGAAATGTGCCACCTTCCAAATATGTTGGTACTTATTTGATATTGTTGTGTGCCAGGGCATTCTCAGCTGTCATGCCATCAACATGGATGTTGTTGTAGTTGACACTTAACAGTAAAAACAATAATTGGAAGTGGGTACAGCCAACTGTGATCAAGTTTGGCAAGTCATAATAGGATATCTTGGAAGAGTTTCTTGTGTTATGTTGCCAAATGCAATCTGTACTTCAATGTAAGTTACACTGAAAGTCTTTGATGTAGGTTACCAATATGTGAAAATTGTTATTGGTGTGAAGCAGTGACTGTCATTCCTTAGGCTCATGGACACAGGACAGGCAGATTATTTGTCCACTCTTCAATTGTTTATTTCGAAATATCTTGGCCAGCATCTGCTCTGATTGATCTTTGTAGTCAGCTTCCTGTCAGCAGGCCTGCTACAAAGCTTTGAGGAAGTTTGCATGATGTATGAGTTTGAACGGTACAGTATAACAAAGATGTCCACAGGCACATTATGTTCTTGCATATCATAAAGATCTAATAGCCTTTACTTTGTGCTCACCATCGATTGTCTTGTGCATTGTAAAACTTCATCTCACAGGTTCGAGAGGGGAGCAGGGCGCAAACTCATCCTGTCTTTGTATGTCTGTGTCCGCTGTTCATGTATTATTTCTTACCTCCTCAGTCTGAGTGTCAATCACTATCTAGAAAACGTACCTATTATAATGCTGGTTAGGTTCAAGCCTGCAGAGGAGAGTGAGAAACTGTGTACAGTCAAAAAGATGTTGCTTCAAACAAAAGCTCTTTCAGTTTGACAAATAAAAACATATCTGTGAAAATGACATGGTTCCTTTGTTTTCTTTACACGTCTGATTACTTATTCTGTTAATTTCTTAAATACACGATGGGTTCTTTATCCCACCTTCCTCATTCTCAGTCCCCACCTCAGCACTTGTCACTCAGCTTGATGAGCTGAGAGGTCCGCCTACAGTTGCCTCAGGCTGAGTCAGCATTAATACAGCCCAGATTTAAGAAAACTAAAGCAACCTTTGTTTTCTGAAGTCTTTGTTTTTGGTTTAGCATCATGGTTCTTTTGCTTTTGACTGCCTTTTTCTGCTGTTGATAAGGTTACAGATCCAGTAGCCATTAATCATATACTTTTATATACAGTGTGTATCTTATATCCATGCTATCCACCCAAACTGTCAACTGCACTCTACTGATTTAACTAAAACAAAATTAGAGAAACAGGCTGCATGCATTTTTAAGTAGTTCTAACTCTGGCATTATTGAGTCAATCTGACAAACTCAATTTGCTTTTGTACAACAACATGATTTGCTTTGACTTGAAAAAGCTTAATTAAGTTGAGCCAACTTATTATTTATCCAAACATTGTGGCGATATTTCGTGGTCAAATTATTTTGACATTTCAAATTATTTATTTTAATTCCATCCTAATCAAAGATGTCAAAATTATTTTAATGCTGAAAAACACCTTTATTTTAATCGCTCTAAACTAACCCCATGAATCATTTTTTAGAGTGCACTCTAAAAAATAGTTAATTGTTTAAAAAAAAAAAAATAACTACGATAACAACTTCCATGCATCTTTTTAAGTAGTTACAACTCTGGCGTTATTGAGTCAGTCCTATGAGTCTTTTTACATTCTGACAAACTACTGAATTAATTTAGTACAACCAACATGATTTGTTTTGACCTGGAAAAGATTAATAAAGTTGAGCCAACTTAAAATTCATTCAAAAGTTGAGGTGATATTTAGTGGTCAAATTATTGTATTTGATATTCCAACTTATTTATTTTAATTCCATCCTACTAAAAATGTCAAAATGTTTTAGATTTTGACCAACTTCTTGATATAAGTTACCAACTGACTGAAACACATAAATATAATTAATGAAATTCCGTATGCTGAAAGACTATTCTATTTTAAACATTATCCTCTAACCACCATGAATCATTTTTCAGTGTGGTTTGTGACTTGAGGAAAAATAATGAATAAGTCTGAGGAGTCACTGAATACATTTTGCACTAGCCAGTTTCTCGGCTTCATCCCAACAAAATGAGTAAGAGTTAAGTCTCATACAGAAAAAAAATGAGGTCACAAGATGTGTTCTGGATTTACCAGGCAACAGTAACATTTTTGTGAGCTGAAATAAAGCTCTAGTGAAAGTTTAGTCAGAAAGGAACTTTTCATGCTCAGGCTGTCTTCCTCGTCTTGCCATTCACTCCTTGTGTGCATGCTCACTCACTATATCTAGGTGTCAATGTCAGGGTCTGTCGACTGACTCGCCAGCTGATTCACAATCAGCCAGTAGCACAGCTACACATCTTCTCTGTCAGCCTATCATCTTACTGCTCCTCATTTTATATACGGTTCTTATAGCAACCATAAGCCATAGTTCTTTCTTGCTGCAGTCATGCACGCCCTCCACCTCCCTATCACCACTTAGGGCTCCAGTTTCCCGGCACGGCGCAGGGTGGCAAACCCTGCACAGAGCTAGTTTCGAGCAGCGCAACCCAAGGCGCGCTCAGTTTGGTAGTTTGGCAGACTGAGGTGCATTGAGATGGGTGTGGCGGCGCAGCAGGGGGAGGTGTCGACAGATGCAGCTTGGCGCAGTGACAGTTTCGTGCCAAAAGGCTTCGCCGAAGGTGCGCTAAAAGCTCGCCAGCTGAAACCAGGTCCACTGTCAGCGCAGGCCAAGCGCAGCCGGTGTAAGTAGAAGTTTGGTTGACCGGCGGACAGTGCGCACACGTCACCAAAACCTCACAGGCAGGTTTCCAGAATATCAGGCACATTAACAATGCAGTAAATACCCCAAAAACCACTATTCAATGCAACTATCTGCAATCAGCACATAAATGTATCTCTATATCGACTGTCCCGTCACATCTGATGTCAGATCAAAGGGGATTGGCACCGTTTGGCATGTTTGGCACGCGTAATGGAAACCCAGCGTGATTTGATTAACACAGCTGCAAACTAATGAGTTCACATCCCTCTCAGCCAACCACAAACAGCCACGGCATCAGATAGGGAGTATATATTCAGCATCTGTCATCTTAGAAAAGTCAAAAGAAAAGAAACAGAGTGAGACTGTGAGAGAGAAAGAGAGCACACGCGCACGAGAGAAACGCAACATTGATTTACAATTGTG